ATCACCGAGCCCCACCGTTTTACAAGCATGGTTATTCCCCAGCAATACAGTTCCACCATCAATGCTCCTATAGGTAGTAAACCACTTCCTATTTGGGCACATGTGGTAAGAGCAACCTGAATCAAGTATCCACTTACCGGAGGTATCTTCGCCACCCGTAACAACATAGCATTCTTTATCGCTCCCTTCCTCCGATGCGTAACTCGCCTCTTCCTTGCCTTCTCTTCTCTCGGTCTTGTTGTTGTTCTTTTTCCCACCTACTCTCTTGTTAGGACAGTCAACCTTGAAATGCCCAACTTCACCGCATTTGAAGCACGCTTTTCCCGCAAGAGGTCTCGATTTAGATCTAGACTTTCCTCCCTTGCCTTTTCCTCGCTCATTGCTCCTTCCTCTAGCAAACAATCCCTGCGCTTGTTCTTTGTTACCACCAGTAGTCATGTCACCGGTTGCAATCTTTCGAAGGTCATCCCCTAGAAGCGCCGTTCTAGTCTCATCCATCGTCAAATTGTCTCCCACAAGCATCAATGTTTGCACCAGGTTCTCATAAGACTTCGGCAGAGATAGAAGTAATAGAAGAGCCTGATCCTCATCTTCTACAGTCACATCGATGTCCTTCAGATCCGATATAATCCTATCGAACTTGTTGATATATTCCCGGATTGATGAGCCCTCCTCCATCTTGCAAGTATACAATTTGGATTTTAAATAGATCCGGTTCGTTAGACTCTTCGTCATGAAGGTACTTTCCAACTTCAACCACACGCCCGCAACCGTTTCCTCTCCGTCCACCAAGAAAGCTACATTCTTTTCAAGGCAAAGGATAATCGACGCCCGTGCTTCCAGATCCAGCTCCTCCCAATCCTCATCAGACATATCCTTGTGCTTCTTCTCTTTTCCCGCCAAAGCTTTGTGCAATTTCTGCGAAATCAACGTGTTCTTCATCTGCATCCTCCAATAGGAAAAATCATTCTTCCCATTGAATTTTTCAATCTCGTATTTTCCAACTTTAACTGTTTTACTTGTTGACGCCATTCTCCGCTTGTCTCAGGAAATTACCGAGCACCACCTCAAATCAGAAGCTACACCACTCCCAATCTGAATAACAGCTCTGATACCAATTGTTGGGCGCAGAGTCACGCCCACCGCCGCGGAAGCGATATGTCCTGAGAGAGAGCCCTGGCTTTTGTTGTCACAAAAGCACAAGTCAACCTCGATATCTGTGTTTCGCGAAGGAAACCCAGACTCAGTAGCGAAATATCTCAGCGAAGTGAGATATCCACTCTTCCTCTCATCAGCGCAAGACCGAATTTTGAGGGATCCTACAAGCAATAGCCAACAACCCAGAAAACAGTAAATACACGAGATTTTACGTGGTTCGGCTAACTAGCCTACGTCCACGGGAGGGGGTTTCACTATGAGGAGAATACCAAACTTTACAAGTTCTCTCTCACTCACTCATTCTTTTTCTCTCAAAGAAAACTCACATAACCCAATTGTTTTACCACAATTTTCCCACACTCTAACTCCTCCATCACCACCTCTATTTATAGCAGAAGAAGAAGGGGGGGCTCAGAAAATTGGCGGGCTGAACGAGCGCGCGCGGGAGAGGAAATGGCGGGCTGAACGGGCGCGCGCGGGAGAGGAAAAACACACGCGGGAAAAATCCCGCTCGTGATCGCGTGCGCGCGCAAGCAAGCAGGGGGAGGGCGGCGCTTTCACGTGGGTGGGCCCCCACCTGTCCCCCGCTCACACAGTATGATTCCTTGTACTAAGGGGTTGTTTGGTTCGTTTTCTAGATATAGGGAAATGCATTTCCATGTACAAAAACACAAGTTTTGAGTTTTCTAAATTTTTCAAAGTAATGGATTGTTTTGCTTTGGTTCGCACAAAAAAATGATAGGAAAACAATGTATTTATTTTTCTTGTGTTTGGTTCGCATGGGAAAAAAAGGAAAAACTCTTGTTGATATTACATTTCCTACTTTTCTTGTGTTTCGTTGGTTTTGAAGTTTGTAGTAAAAAAATGTTTATGATCACCATGGTAAGATTACCCCTACTATATACAATTTTATTTGTGCTCGTTATATGATGTAATCTTAATCATATAAAAGTTCGAATGTGACATGAACAAATAATAATATCTCCAATGAATTATAAATTTCTGCTTGTATTAATGAAATCATACTAAACCTGAAATAATATGAATCAATTGTAATGAATTACATACTTGATTTGACTTGAACTATACTCAATTGCAATGAATTACATACTTGATTTGACTTGAAATATACATGTTTCAGATTGAAAAAATCACATGAAACCTGTACTAACTTGAATATTCACAAATTTATGAAGTTGCATGAATTATCCAAAAAATCTGTTGAAACATATAAAAACATATAAAGAACCTGAATAGCCATAAATATGTATATAACCTCTTAAATCGCACAAAACCATGCTTGAAAATAATTCCACAACACAAAATATATAAAAAAATATATAAAAAATAAAAAATATAATAAAAAAAAAGAACGAAAGAACGGATAGACAGAAAGAAATGCCGCATTAAATCCTACACAGCCCGGTCCCACACAAATTTATTTTGGACACATCATCTTCCTTCCCTTGATGGCCCCACCCCCTCCCTCTCTCGCTCAAACTTTCAAAGTCTTTTTGCAATTTGGCCCCCAATCTATTTCATCTTTTCACTCTCCCACGAGCTATCCTTAAATAAATTCAACTGTCCGTCCCTCCCTCTCTCATCAGTCTCCGAGTCTCGCGCATTGTGGCTGTAAGTTTCTCTCTCCTCTTCCTCTCTGTTGATCTCTTTTACAAAACTCGTTCGCTAATTAGTTAAAATTCATTGATCCAATCAGATCACTACCTAATATTAGATTTGAGCGCGATTTCATTCTAGTAGGAAGATATTTTTTATGGAATAATTTTTTCCCCCTGAAAGTTTGATGATAATGGGTTTGCAATATTTCTTTAGTTCATCTAATCGCTTATACTGAAAATGTGTTTGGTCTAAATCATCATTATGTGAAAGACTAATCCTTGATTGATTAAGAAATTGATACTATTGAATCTGACCAATTTTTAGATTTTCACCTTAATTACCATCAATATAATATTGAACCCCTGTCTTGATGACAAAATGGCTTTACGTAGCAATTTAAGCTCTCCGTAATTCCTCAATCACAGATTTGTTTGTTTTAGGGAATCATGTTACTTTTCTGAATTAAATCATTGAACTAAAGAGGAAAATATGACCCCTTTCTCAAATGTATATTATTGCTTGTATTAATTGGAAAGTGGAGGTTATGTTGATCTGTCCTTTGAGCTCGCGTGAAATCGGATATTACTGATTTTCTTATAATAATGCAAAGTTTGCAAGCAGGGGAATTTTGCTATTATGATGTGCATGCACTTAGGTAATCATGTTAATCTCTTGAGTTGCAACATTCTGCCAAATTACAAGAACTAACAAAATTTTCAACTCGTTAGTTTACCATTAGGGAAGTCATATGATGTGGAGATCTAATTTCTTTCAAAAAGAGGAAAACGTATTGAAGTGGAACAATATGGATTTTTTTTATATGAAAGTTTACTTCTTTTAATCACGTCAATGTACAAAAGAGGCAAACATAACACATATTTCTTATGTATGATTCCTTGTACTAAGGGGCTGTTTGGTTCGTTTCCTAGATATAGAGAAATGCATTTCCATGTACAAAAACACAAGTTTTGAGTTTTCTAAATTTTTCAAAGTAATGGATTGTTTTGCTTTGGTTCGCACAAAAAAATGATAGGAAAACAATGTATTTATTTTTCTTGTGTTTGGTTCGCATGGGAAAAAAAGGAAAAACTCTTGTTGATATTACATTTCCTACTTTTCTTGTGTTTGGTTGGTTTTGAAGTTTGTAGTAAAAAAATGTTTATGATCACCATGGTAAGATTACCCCTACTATATACAATTTTATTTGTGCTCGTTATATGATGTAATCTTAATCATATAAAAGTTCGAATGTAACATGAACAAATAATAATATCTCCAATGAATTATAAATTTCTGCTTGTATTAATGAAATCATACTAAACCTGAAATAATATGAATCAATTGTAATGAATTACATACTTGATTTGACTTGAACTATACATGTTTCAGATTGAAAAAATCATATGAAACCTGTACTAACTTGAATATTCACAAATTTATGAAGTTGCATGAATTATCCAAAAAATCTGTTGAAACATATAAAAACATTTAAAGAACCTGAATAGCCATAAATATGTATATAACCTCTTAAATCGCACAAAACCATGCTTGAAAATAATTCCACAACACAAAACCAAGCTCCACGTATGATCAGAACTGCACGAATAGAACTATGAAAACTAATAATATTATGAACTGTTACAATCATTTATACAAGATTTTATCTGCATACACAGTTTCAAAATTGGCTACTGATTACTGATACAAGACCGATATAACTTCATGCAATTTGAGGTTTGACGTGAACTTCACTACTTGACCAGGATCTTCACCACTCGACCAGGTAGCACAACTATGGCGTGATGTGCTCTCCCCTCTCTCTTGGAACACCTGACACATAAAGTAGACATAAACATAGAAACAATGAGCTAATATAAAGACCAATAAGGGTAACTAACAAGATCATATGAACAGACATAAACTTGAATCAATTCATCAAAGTTTTTTCTTTAAATTTGTTTAACTTTCTTGAACTAAAACTAAGTACAGACAAATGTATAATACACAACAATATAACAGTAATCTTTTACCAAATGTACATAAAACCTCACAGTTGCGTAATTTGAGAAAGATCACAACAATATAACAGTAATCTTTTACCAAATGTACATAAAACCTCACAGTTGCGTAATTTGAGAAAGATGACAAACCTCAGTCATTTGTCTGTGTCCAAATGTACATAAAACCTCACAGTTGCGTAATTTGAGAAAGATGACAAACCTCAGTCATTTGTCTGTGTCCGCAGAGCATTGCTCTTGTTGATAAAGGATCTATAATCTGCTTGGCCTTAGAAAATGCAACCTGCAATATATTGTTAACAAGTTTCTTACAGATGATGAGCCTAAACGTGAAACAAAATAACCAAACTGATCACAAAACCAGCAAACCCACAACAGCCACAAAATGGCTCACAATCGGTCACAAAATGGCTACACAAAACCTGATGTGGAGCACAACCAGCCACAAACTGAACATGCGGCTACACAACCAGCCACAAAATGGTTACACAAAACCTGATGTGGAGCACAACACTTACACAACATGGCTCAAAACCAGTCTACAAAACTAGCAAACCAACCAGGCTCACAACCAACATACACAAAATAACCAAATTGATCACAAAGCCAGCAAACCCACAACAGCTCGCTCGCTCGACAATTCTTTTAAACCGAACTGATTATGCTATTAAATGCATCTCCCTATATCTGTGCAGTGCAATTGGATGAGGTGATGCATTTAAACCTGTGCCCAAACTGAACACAAAACAGATAAAACCCACAACAGTATGTACACCAAACGGAACACAAAACCATCAAACCAAAATGTGCCCAAACTGAACACAAAACCAGCAAACCCACAACAGCAAAGATCACCAAACTGAACACAAAACCAGCAAACCAACTTGTGCCCAAACCGAACACAAACCCAGCAAACCCCTCAACAGCAAGTACACCAAAAATAGCCAACCAACAACATCAGGCTACACAACCAGCCAACCACATAGAGACAACATGTGCCCACAAATAACCGAGCAGAAAAAAAATCAAGAAAAATAGCATATGCACACCAAACTGAACACAAACAGATTGTAATGGTCACAAAGCCAACTAGAGCTGCCAAACTGATTATGGATGAAGGCTCAGAATTTGGTCAAAATCATCATTGTTAGTCATCCAGTACAATATCAATAGATATTACAAGTTGCTAATCTCAAAAAATTTAACAATCATCATAGCCTAAATTGATGCAAACCAAAATCAACACAAACAAATAATAATGAGCACAAAGCAAAGTGACAATAGCATATGCACAACATGGCTCACAACCAGGCCACACAACCAGCCACAAAATGGCTACACAAAACCTGATGTGGCGCACAACACTTACACAACATGGCTCACAACCAGTCTACAAAACCAGTAAACCAGCCTGGCTAACAACCAACATACTTAAAATAACCAAACTGATCACAAAACCAGCAAACCCACAACAGCAAAGATCACCAAACTGAACACAAAACCAGCAAACCAACTTGTGCCCAAACCGAACACAAAATCAGCAAACCCCTCAACAGCAAGTACACCAAAAATAACCAACCAACAACATCAGGCTACACAACCAGCCAACCACATAGAGGCAACATATGCCCACAAATAACTGAGGAGAAAAAACAAGAAAAACAGCATATGCACACCAAACTGAACATAAACAGATTGTAATGGTCACAAAGCCAACCACATTTGTCAAACTGATTATTATAAAGGCTCAGAATTTGGTCAATATCATCATTGTTAGTCATCCAGTACAATATCAATAGATATTACAGGTTGCTAATCTCAGAAAAACTAACAAACATCATAGCCTAAATTGATGCAAACCAAACTGAATAGGGCTGAGGGCTCATAATATGGTCAATATCATCATTGTTAGTCATCCAGTACAATATCAATAGATATTACAGGTTGCTAATCTCAGATATTATGACAATAATCATAGCCTAAAAGTAAAAAAGTCTCCAACGTAAACTCGTATCATGAAAACTTACTACACAAAATACCCAGAGCAATAGCCATCCAGTACAATGTGTGTACATTATAGGTTGCTTGCATCTTAAAAAATTGTATGGTGACTTATAAATATCCTACAGTCACAAGTTTAATTTATAGGTTAGTACACCATAATATTCACACTCTGAAAGATAATATTAAAAAATGAAAGCAAATAACTACTTACTACAATATAAATATAATATTAGTCTTTATGTGTTTCTTTTATTTTGACTTTTTGAACCATAAAATCTTAGTAGCAAAGTCACTTCTCTTTCTGAACTTTAACATTTACGTAGTACTATCTACTTTCAAAAATTACTCATAAGTACAGGTCACAAGAGATTACTGAACTATGCAAATCTCAAGTGACTATAGTAAATGCATCTGCTTCTAGACCAATTTCTCTATCTTTAATGATAAAACTATATATGTTATAAGAAATTAATTTTTATTTAGCATGTCGTATCTAATTTCAATTACTAAATGAGATGAAATCTAGATCATCTATTTTGTTATTAGATTCACATGTCAAGCTAATGTACATTCAAGAAAAAGAAACACTTGCCTAACTATATTAACTATGTAATAGTCAAGATGTGTGCTATCAATAAAGTGAGAGCTCATACGCTTAGAAGGCATCCAAAAGAAAATTTAACTGCAAACACATCCAAAAGATTCTTTAGTGCATCCACTTATAGAGAGCAAAAATTTAACAATCACCTAACAAGGTAAGATATTCCATCCAAAAGAAAATGAGTTGGGTATAGTTGCTGTAAATTGCTTCGAAAATCAGAAAGCAAACCATCAGCAAGAATTTGCTAATGTTAGGTTAACCATTTGAGTATAGTTGCTGTAAATTACTGTAAATTGCTTCGAAATCTCAAAAAATTAGGAAATTCAGAAAAATTGCTTCGAAAATCAGAAAATTGCATAGATCAGACCCCCCCCCTCCCACAAACTATCAGATAATTGCTATAAATTTAACTAATAATAAGAAAAATTAAAAAAATCAATTTTTACCTTGATTTATGAAGCAACAACGTCGGCAAAGATCAGATCTGATTATTGTCGGCAAAGATCAGACCCCCCCCTCCCCGAATTTCTACGAATACAAGGACAACGAAGGTCGCGGGAGTTCCTGACGGGAGGAGAGCAAGGAGGTAAGTATAGCTCGCTGAAGAAATCAACGAGGAAAGCAAAAAGCCGACGTGGCTGCAATTTTCGTCGATTTCACAAGGTTGAGGAAGGAATTGGGGGAGAAAAAAAAAAGGTGATGTGGCGGGGGGTTTTCACCGATTTCCCTTCTTCAACCCTAGCGAACCAAAGTGGGGAAAAAAACCGACGGAACTTTAAATGTTACATGGCCACGAAAAAACTGACGTGGAGGCGGTGTAAAAGTTTTCCACCGAGTTAAAAAACGAACCAAACAGCCCCTAATTGAAAACTGATGCTCTGTTTTCTGTTTTTATGATTTCATACAGATTTGCAATATGAAATCACATTATTATTTTTAAACACGTAACCAAACAAATTACACTTTTGAAAGTGCAACATTTTCCCAAAGTACAAAAACATAACATTTTTGTTTAGTTTATTTGCATTGACACATACACCTAAGTTCCATTCACCTGTGTTTAAATTCTTGCCCCTCTTACGAAAACTACTTTTGTTTTTCACAGAGCAACCCTTACCAAGAAGATATTATGGCAAGCCACACCCCCAAGAACATTCTCATCACTGGAGCAGCTGGCTTCATTGCATCCCATGTCGCAAACCGCCTGGTTAGAAACAACCCCCAATACAAAATCGTCGTTCTCGACAAGCTTGACTACTGCTCAAACCTGAAAAACCTCCAACCATCTCGATACTCGGCCAACTTTAAGTTCATTAAGGGTGACATAACCAGTCCTGATCTTATCAACAAACTCCTCATCAATGAACAAATCGACACAATTATGCACTTTGCCGCACAAACCCATTTACAACTCTTTTGGGAATTCCTTTGAGGTCACCAAAAACAACATTTATGGCACTCATGTCCTTCTTGAAGCTTGCAGAGTGACAGGTAACAAAATCAAAAGGTTTATACATGTAAGCACTGATGAAGTTTATGGAGAGACCGATGAAAATGCCATTGTTGGAAAGGATGAAGCATCTCAGCTTCTTCCTACAAATCCTTATTCTGCTACAAAAGCAGGAGCTGAGATGCTTGTAATGGCCTATAATAGATCCTATGGTTTGCCCCTCATAATTACTTGAGGAAATAACGTATATGGACCTAACCAATTCCCTGAAAAGCTAATACCAAAATTGATTCTTTTGGCTATGAGAGGAGAGCCACTGCCAATTTATGGTGATGGATCCAATATAAGAAGCTTTTTGTACTGTGAAGATGTTGCGGAGGCGTATGAGGTTATCCTTCACAAAGGAGAAGTTGGGCATGTGTACAATATTGGGACTAAGAAAGAAATGAGAGTGATTGATGTGGCAAGAGAAATTTGTAAGCTTTTATCAAATTCGTTAAGGACAGACCATTCAATGATCAAAGATACTTTCTCGATGATCAGAAGTTGAAGAAGTTAGGTTGGTGTGAGCGTACAAATTGGGAAGAGGGACTTAGAAAGACTATAGAGTGGTATAAGAACAATCCTAAGTGGTGGGGAGATGTCTCCGGTGTGCTTTTGCCTCATCCAAGATTGTCGATGATGCCTGCAGAAGAAGCCAATGAAGACAATGTCGAAGCTTCTGATTGTTGAAGAACTGAAACATTTGTTGTAGCCGGTTCCATTTTGTTGTAACCGGTTCCTATCATATGGGGACATTTGGTTAGAAGTAATTCTATTTTTGTTACAGACAACACTATGTACCACCATGAGAGTTAATGAAATTATCACATTCTCTATTCCATTTTATTAGTTTCCACACTGATCAAAACAATAATTACTCTCTTCAAATGCCTTCTTTGAAGTTCGTGGTTTAGGGTACGACTGGATGGATTAAGGGTCACATGGCAAAGTTTTAACAGTTTGTCTTGAGGAGCATTCGCAGGTTTCATCAGATATTTGAGAAACTCGAAATGTTAAGCGACACATGTTTTTAATGTGCTACGTGTCGTTAAAAGATCAAATGTTATTTGATGTGAGACTCATAAGCCAGTGATTATACGTGCTAATGTTGGGGATGCTTTGATGTTAGATGATATATGCAGAGGGAATGGTCTGTTTATGATGTTTTTTTGCAATGGGATGCATATTTGAGTACGATGCTGAAGGACTGGGATTGGTTTTAAAGAGGAAGATATTCCTAAGTTTGCTGGATCTTTAGCTTGAACGCAAAGGCAATGGGTAACTATATATATCTTTCCTTTCATACTTCTTCTGTTAGAATATAAAATTATAACTTTTAACCCTCACCCCAAATATGGAGCTTTGACGAAGGTCATAATTTGGTTAATTTCAAAAAACCTCCCTGAACTTTGGGCGGTGTTACGGAGAACCACGCTGAACTGTTTTAATTCGACTAAACCCCACTCAGTTTTGGAGGTGTCTCACAAAACCCCAAACTTCTTTCATTCCGTTAAGCCCTCCTTAATTATGGGGTGTCTGACAAGACCTCTTGAATTGTTTTTACTCCACAAGCAGATGCAATAATCTAACTTGATTGGTATCAGAAAAAAAACAAGTTCAAATCCATATGCCTTGAATTTAAAGCGGAATGCCAGAATTTCTGTGCACGTGTAAGAAATATGACAATGCTTGCACGAGTTAGATTGTGAATATCCTCTGACCTATCAAATCCACGAAACTTCATTACGAAGGTCTCTTGTTATAAAAAGGCAGTCAACATCCCAAACAGCATGCCAATCTTGCATGAGCTTCTACAGGCATATGCTTCACCAATCCTGGTGTTGTTATCCGTAAGAATATTGGAAATGTACAAGCAATACGTCCATCTTAGGTTTAAATGGTCGAACTTTACGCTTGCGGAGCAGGCTAAAGTTATCATTGCAGCTAAGAAGCTGAAATGATGAGATGGATGCATCGAAGTTGAAGAATGATCAGTTTCCTGAGTTGTTATCTATCAAGGATTCGTTGATCGAATACAACTTTGAACCTAACAAGAAGGTTTAGATGGTACAAACTAAAGCTTCCTGTATGTATTAGCTCTGTTTCTACTACAATTGAATGGCAATTAGGCTAAAGTATATTGTTTCAATCTTTCGGTTTTTTGAATAGTCCTTCCATAAGCTCATATTTGGTGTATGATAGATTTGCAGTTTGGTTTTAAAGCTTTTGAGACTTTTAGATTTAGTTTTGTTGGATGTAGTTTTTGTTAATATTGTATCTCATCTATTATATCCGTTGTTCAACAATTATATAAAATGTTATCGCTAGGACCATGAAATGCATTTGGAGAACTTAATCACTTTTGTCTCTCTAGCAGTGTTAAAAAGATTTGACCACTTGGCAAAATTAGTAGAAAAATTACCAGATTACAATTGAAATGGATATTCCACAAAAAATAAAATAAAATAGAAAGAAAATAAAGAAAATCACCGATGTCATTTAATTTAGAATCCAGTCTCAATCTTCTTTACTGACTTTCTTCGTTTTGTTGGAATTAGAGTGTCAACCAAACCTTAAAGGCGAAGTCCGTAGCTGTAGGCGAGCTCACGACCTTCAGGCGAGCTCGAGGAAACCAACAGGCGAGATCTGAAGGCGAGAAGCTTCAGGCGAAGTTGGACGAGCTCGAGCAAGCGAGGTCGAGTTGGCGAACTCCAGGCGGGCTCGCGTCAAGTTGCAGGCGAGATTGGAGAACTTCTTGCAGGCGAGTTCGACAAGAGACAGGCGAGCTCGAGCTCCTCGCAGGCGAGATCGTTGACAGGCAACGACAGCTTGTCGCCAACTATCCTAGGGTTTCCCTATAAAAGGGAAACATTGTGCCTTAGCCCCAAAAAACTCTCCCTCTCTCTCGTGTGCTCTTCTCCAGCGGCGGCAGACCCAAATCGCAGCAACGATTTCTCCCCAGGCGGCGACCATTTTTCCCCTCCTGCTCTTTTTCTCTTTTCTCCAGCACTCACGATTTGGGGGGAGATTCTAGAGAGAGAGAAGAATTAAAAGGGAAATTAAAGGGGTTCTTAAGAGAATTAAATAGGGATTATTCCCTTTGGTCATTTAACACTATAGCTATAGTATTTGTATTGAGAGATCTCAGTTTGAGATCGGCTCTTGTGTTGTAATTTCTTGTTGATAAATAAGAAATTAATTGTGTGGCTCCCGAGGATGTAGGTAGTTGCCGAACCTCGTTAAACTTGGTGTACTTTTTTCTATACTGTGTTTTCTACTGTCTTAGGGGTTTCGGCGTTAAATTCCCAACAACTGGTATCAGAGCGTGAAACGATCTAGAGGAAGTCAGATTCAAGTGGGAGCCATGGCCGCAGATGAAGGAAAAATGAGACTTGAGAAGTTTGATGGAACAGCTTTCGGATTCTGAAAAATACAGATAGAGGATTATTTGTATCAGAAAAATCTGTATCAACCACTATCGAGGAAGAAGCCGGATTCTATGAAGGTGGATGAGTGGAACCTTCTAGAAAGACAAGCCCTCGGAGTTATCAGATTGACGTTGACTCGCAATGTTGCGTTCAACATAGCGAAGGAAAATACCACGGCGGGTCTTATGGCAGCACTCTCAAATATGTATGAGAAGTCATCAGCCGCGAACAAAGTTCATTTGATGAGGCAGTTATTCAATCTGAGAATGGTGGAAGGCGCGTCAGTAGCACAACACCTCAATGAACTCAACATGGTCACAACCCAATTGAGTTCAGTTGAAATTGAGTTTGATGAGGAAGTTCGGGCGTTGATATTTTTGTCTTCCCTCCGAGAGAGTTGGAACGCTACAGTCACGGCAGTGAGTAGCTCGTCAGGAAACAACAAGTTAAAGTTCGATGACGTTCGTGATCTGGTTCTCAGTGAGGAGATCCGACGGAGAGAGTCGGGTAAAGCTACAACCTCTTCAGTATTGCATACAGAGTCAAGAGGTAGAAATTCAACCAGAGGGAACGGATGAGGCAAATCAAACTATAGAGGTAGATCAAAGGACAGAAGGTCCAAATCCAGGAATCCAAGCAATAGCTCGAAGGCTATCGAGTGTTAAAATTGTGGAAAGACCGGGCATTACAAGAATCAGTACAAGAGTGCACAGAAGGAGAAGGAGACGAAGGCAGAGGTGAATGTCACTTCTACCTCAGGAGGAGACGACGCATTGATATGCTCTTTGGAGAGCAATGAGGAATCTTGGGTGTTAGATTCAGGAGCGTCGTTCCATGCTACTTCTCTGAAAGAATTTTTCGAGAAGTATGTTCCCAAAAATCTTAGATACGTATACCTAAGTGATGATCAACCGTGTGCTATTGTGGGCAAAGGTGTGGTGAAAATTAAGTTGAACGGGTCAGTATGGGAGCTGAAGGATGTCGTCAGGCATATTCCTGACCTGAGAAAGAACTTAATATCCGTAGGCCAGTTAGCTGGCGAAGGTTACACTACGACCTTCCATGGAGATGATTGGAAGATCTCAAAAGGCGCAATGACGATTGTCCGAGGTAAGAAGACTAGTACCCTATATATGACAGCAGGTGCACGTTATTTGATCTCAGTTGCAGCAGACAATGAGACTTCAAAGCTGTGGCACCAGAGGCTCGGTCATGTGAGTGAGAAGGGGATAAAGATCATGCACACAAAGGGAAAACTCCCAGGACTATAGTCAGTGGAGATGGA